ATATTCCAAAGCAGAAAACCAGCAATGATTCCCAAGCTTAAGATTGCACTGCAGACCATAAGCAAATCCTTTCACACTTCTGGTTTAGTTAGATCTGGCTTGGTTTATAACTAGGGACCTACTTAAGTTGAGGTGAGACTAAACAATTTTCATGGGTTGATCACAGCATAAAGAGCAAACTTCCTGGATGTGCTCCACTGGCCCTGCCACTTGGCACTGATTGGCAGAGAGGTGCTGGTGTAGGAGGAAGGATGAGGGGTGGCTGCCATCTTGTTTGCCGCCTGCCCTTCATGCAGCCCTGCCCTTCAGTGCTGATTGGTCCTAGCAAGGGAAGGAGGGGTGAGGGGGTAGCTTCCATCTTGTCTGCTGCCCTTCATGTGGCCCTGCCAGCTGGTACCTTCCTCCTCCTGGGTGGGCTGTGAGGCCAGGCTACAGCAGCAAGAACTGCTGGCTCCCATTGGAGAGCCAGGATTTTATTTTTATTAAGCTTTTTTTTTAAAGTTGATTCCACAGACAATCCCTAATTTTGGTGGTTTCAGCAAAATTGTAAATTGAGTAGACCTCTATTTATAATGAAAGATGTTATTGTGATCCATATGAAAGAGATCAACACCTGGCACAGCAGTTGGTAACAAAATTGATTGTGTGTAAACATCCACCCTATTCTTGGTTTTGCAGTGAGATCTTTCAGGCATTTCAGGGTTCTCAGGAAAATGGAGTCTGTATTCTGGAGGTCCAGGACCAAGATCCGTTAGATTGGCAGTAATTCCACTGACTTCATTGCAGTTACTGTTAGGGTGGCCATCATAGAGGACAGTCCGGTTGTCCTCTGTCCTCTGTTGATCTGAAACTGGATGCCTTTATGCCCTCTATTTTTCTCTTAAAGAGTTAAAGAGAAAAATAGAGGGCATAAAAGCATCCGGTTTTGTATCAATAGGGGACAGAGGATGGAGTACCAGAAAACCAGGATGTCCTCTATGATGGTCACCCTAGTTACTGTTGACTTACACTAGCATAACCAAGAGCTGAATTTGACCCTCAGGTTACTTTCTGAAATGGTTCCTAGATTTATTGAAGCTATGTACCTCTGTAGGACTTTTCTGTAGGTTTGTTGTAGCAGTAGCTTAATGTAAATCAATTTTACTTGCAGCTGAGAACAATGCTGATTGTATATGAATCTCTAACATTTGCTGTAGACTCGAGTTTCTAAGGATCAGCTTAGGCATTCAACCGGATTACCCGTCTGCCTGTGAACTTGAAAAAAAGGAATGTGTTTTACAGTAGTAATAAAGAGGTTACTTTTAGATTAAGTTATTTTCAGTGGCTATATCTGGAAGATTTAGAGTCAATTATCCTGGTCAGGTTCATCTTTAGGACACCAGCAAAGATGGTAGCTGAGACATTTATATTGTACAAGCAACAAAGATTTAAAGGTGCTTTGTTCAAGGTATGGGTAATTGAGGCCCAGTTCTGTCCCCTGCAAGATGGAATCATTTCTACTAAAATCAATGGGAGATATTCATATCTTGGGTAATAGAAGACAAACCTTTAGGGTTTTTTTCTGTGTTGGTATCAATAATTCTGATTCAACGTCTTGTATTATTCTGAATGGAGAGAAAGCAGGCTGAACAATCAGTTTCACTGGGGAGGGAGGGGGATAAATTAGGCTCAAGTTTTTTTATCAAGGCTTCATAATTCTTTGCATGTTTGTTCCCTCTGTTGTAAAGTCTGCTTTATTATATTTCATGAAGCCTTCCAAATGGTTCACTTCTGTCAACATCTGCATTTTCTTGCAGTTGTATATGAATGAGTCTTACCTTCCCATTGGCAAAGTCCCTCCCTTATACTTTTACCAAATACTGAAGTTTATTGGGAAGCTTTTTGAAAAGAACTCATGTCCCACGTCTAAAATTAATTTAAGCATTTAAGACCCTTAGTTTCACTACTGTCCATTGACTCTAATGGTGTGGACAGATGTGACATTTGAAATGTTCCAAGTATAATGGGCTTGGCCTCATTGGACCCAACCACTTCTCACCACAAACCCTACCCCTGCTGGAACTGGAGTGGTGCAGGGACTGGGAGCTGGGATTTGGGGTCAGGTGGTGTAGCAGTGGTGGGAGTGCAGGGATCTATGGTGGCAGTGGTAGTGTTGCACTCAGAATTCTGGCTTTAAGCCCCAATCCACTAACCCTCTCCTTTCCAGAATATAGAGGTTTGGTGGCAGGAGCATGAGGATCTTGTGGTGATCGTAGGGGAATCTTACAGGCATCTGGCAACATCATAAACACCAGAATTGCTTTGGCCAAACTCTGGGAGAAGAATCACATGGCTAGACAGTCTGGCAAGTTGTCAAGTCAACCTAACAGAGTGTCTACCTCATTCTCCCTGCTTTGTGAGAGTAAGGAAGAGAAGAGCACTATGGGATTCTAGAGGATTGATGGGTTTCCTGTTCCCAGGGGAATGTAATGAGAAGTGAAGCACTTCAAAATAGTATCTCATTTCAAGGGACATTATTTTGGAACACTTCAGCTGCTTTTGAATGTTTCAAAAGGCAAATACATGTGTACAGCTGGCCCTTTGAACTGTCTCAAAAACAATGGAAATGCTTCTAATGCTCTGTCTGTCCACAACCTGAGTTCTTGTGTGACTCCAGTATAGTATAAACATGTATGAGCTAGCTGTAAACTAGCTAGCTCAGGGACCAGTAGCTGTACTAGCTCACTATGGGCTGAACACCCAAATATTATTTATGAAGTCCCTTGGTCAGGTTTTGCAGTCTGCACTGAGCTCTGTGATACCATGCCTAGCCTGCTGCCAGAATCTAACCTATTTTAAAGTTATCTCAGACATGAAAATCACAGCTGTGATGGTAGTATAAGTATGTCCTCAGTCGGCCTATACACATGCTCAGGAGAAGGCGGGGGGAGGCGGTGTTTTAATTAGAGTGGTTCCCAGACAGCCACTTGAATTAAAACAGCTCACCATCATGTGTATTAAGGCCCACATCTTTAAAAATTGCTACAGGATGCTTTAGCAAAAGCTCATTCAATGAAGTTTAGATAAAGCACCCCCACAGCCATTTTAAAATGGCAGGGGCTTAATACATGTGACAGTGAGGCAATGCTGGACCATTCTAATTAGAATACGGAGAGGACTTGATTAACTGAGTCTGCTCTGATGTGTTGTAATTAGAACATGAATGAGCATGTGTATAGACAGTCTAAGGGTCTTTGTACATGCCACCAAATTGGCCTTTAAGGCAGCTTAAATGCCCTTTTGCACCACTTTAATGGTGTTGCTGTTTGCATGCCCAGCAGTGTATTCCTCTTTAAATAACCTTGGTATGTAGCAAGATAAAACACCTAGGAGGTGTTTTAGTTTGTTAACTAACAAAGTGCAACAGTGCACGGGGCACTGGAAGCTGATGTGCTTGGGGCTTGACGGGCCCTGCACAGCTCAGGGGCTGTAGGACCTGGCATCAGCCCATGCAGGCACGCTCCACTAAAACAAAAAAAGAAGATGGTGAGCCTGATCTTTTTTTTCACCTTCCCTGAAGTCTGCTTGCCTGCCTGAGCTGTGTGGGGGCTGGATGCTTCCCTCCACAGCTGCGGGAGTGCTGGTGGTTCCCTCCGCAGCTGTGGCGTGCCCCAGGACCAGGTGCCAGTGGGCGGGTGCTGCCTGGGCTGGTCCCCACACAGCTCAGGGACTGCTCGGCTCACCAGCAGCTTGGCCCCCTTGCTGCTGAAGAGGCAGGTAAGGGTTGGGCCCCCACCCTCATGTACATGCCACAGGCATATAGTTTGGTTTAATTCTCCTTAAATTGAAGCGATGTTTTTAAAAACCCACCATTTCAATTTAGGGAGAACTAAACCAAATTAAATCCCCTGTGGTGTGTACAAGCAGCTAAAGAGTCTAAAGTGCTTAAATGACTTTTAAAAATTGAACTAAGTCACTCTGGGTGATCTTAACCCACAAAATAGGTAACCTTTTTATGTATAATAACTATTTTGGTGCTTTGTACTTTTTTATTTTACCAAGATGCACATGGAAAGTTCACTTTATGAATAGTCTTATTTGAGCACAGAGTTATGTATTGGATTAGTGCATTTGACTGTTAGGTTTAAGAGTGTTACTCAGTCTTCTTTCTGTGCGGAGAACATATATTCATTGACACTGGAAAAAAGGTGAGTTGAAAAATGTTCTTAACAAACTTGCATTTTAGGAAAAGTTAGATACCACTGAAGTTATCCTCTAGCAGAGATTCACGGCTATTGGAATGATGCTGATTTATACCAGCTGAAGATTTGACTTGGGTTATAGAGAGATGAATGTGGGTGGGGGATCTTAGCATGCATCGGCTGTACTGTTATAACTGTTAAAATGTCCACTTTTGTCCTGTGGTAAGTCAAGGCTACATTGGTACATCTTACCCCTGAATTAACAGGTATTAAGTTATTATGATTTAACTTCCACTTGGTTGCATAATTTATTCATCTCTCTGTGCCTATGCTATGCACCTAAACTAGGCTAAGCTGTTTGGCTTCCCCCCACCCTTTTTTTGTTGGCATTGCATATTGATACACTTGTAATATGAAGTGTGGTCTTCTTCTGGACACACTATAATCCATCTTTTAATCAAAAGAGACCAAGAACCAGAAAGTGCATTTGATACCTTTGGATAGGATTGTGAGAATCAGAAATCCTGCTAGGAGACAGTTGATACTTTGAACATAGATGAAAAGCAGCTGCAGATTGTGTAGTCAAGCACTACCTGTTTTACCTTGATTGTATAAGGGAAAATTCAAACCACTGTAATCCTGATTTAGTGTATAAGTATTGCCTGGCCTTTCAAGGGCTTGGAATCCAGCTGCAAGTGGTCAGTGGATAATAGTCTGCCTGACTGGGATGCTTGGGGCCAGATGGAAGGGCTTACCAGCTAATGAGGGTGGAGGCAAGAAAAGTTAAGAGCTCCAGGAAGTGTGCTGGAGTGAGAAGAGGGCAGCCTGGTGTGCTGGTAGAAACCCACAGTTTAAACTATCTCTCTTTTAGTGTTTGGAAAAGACAGAGTTTTGTTTAGTTTTTATTGAGGATTCAAGGTTGTTTAAGAAGAATAACACTGGCAAGAGACACTGAGAATAGAGCTGACTCACCTAAGGCTACAGGGTAAGTGAGCAGCTTATAGTGTGTTACTCCAAAGCTGGGATTTTTAATTGCAGTTCAGAATTTAGCTTGACTTGTGATATCTGTTTGCCAGCAATAATGATTCCACTTAGGTAGAATATGCTAATCCTCCTCTTTACTCTCTGACTCAAAAAACACTTCACTTCTAGCTGTGGTCATTAGACTGTTGGGGCTTCTTGGAAAAATAAACACAAGGGAGCAACCTGGGGAAAAGGAACTGGTTGATGTTCATACTTGGTGGTGAATAGGAATCAGCAGGACCTGGTGTTATTCATCTGGATCCATTGCTTTCAGGACACGGTGGTAGAAGGGATCAGCCTTTTTTTATTTCTTGTAAGTGGAGAATTTGCTCCTCTTCTCAGGCAGTGATCTTGCCCCCACTGTTCAGGTCACAGCTGGCTTCTGTAAATTCCCTCCTTCAGCACTTGCAAACAATTTTATCACCTGTGGCTACAGCTGTATGTGACAGCACACTTTCCAACTGCAGGGAATGTTTGTGTGCATGTTAGGCTTTATTGCTCTTCCTACTACTGTGATGCAAAACTTGTGCAAGAAAGGAGAGATGTGTACTCATCACACACTTCAGTCTTTTTTGCTGCTGACTACAAATGCTGCTCCTAGGAGAATTCCATCTCCAGCTCTTCAAACCAAAGTAGTTTTACGTGTTTGGCTAAAGTTCAGACCAGTTAACAACTTTTGCATCCTCATGCGAACTTTTCCTCTAACTTTTTTGAAGCTGTATCGCTGCAAGATTCGAGCAGGGTAATAAGCTGGGCCAAGAGGGAGAGCTTGTCCTTTAAAACTCTTTGTTAATTAACAAATGTCATCAGGGTAAAATTAAAGGCCACGGTAACATTTTGGAATCCTCTAATGTTTGTTGTTGTTGGACGTGAATGTGCTTCTCCTTTGTAAGGACTTTAATACACATGGTAAGTAAGATGACTGTAATCGGGAGTGGATTTCAAACCAGTGGCACTTTCCCTTCCACTCAGTTCTGACAGCCAAGAGCTTTGTATGGTCACTTTTGGTGAGAATTAAAGGCTTCAATATTCTAAATACCCATTTTGCAGATGGCTACCGAGGTTGCCTACTGCTATTCTAATCTTTTTTTTTTTCCCTTGCTTGAGGTGTGATATTTTGACTGCAGCTTTTCCCCATTCCCTTGCCTCTCCTGGCTCTTCGAGGGAGCTTTCCCTCAATTGAAGAATAATTGTGCTGAGCTAAACAACAGAATTGGCAGAAGGTTGCCTGACATATGAGGGCTGACAGAGTGTGTTTCAAATGTCTGGCAGGACTATGCAGGGTTAAAAGAGCTAACACTTTAAAACAGCTTACACTTTAAAACAATGGAATTTACATGCTTCAGAGGTTTCCTATCTCCTTATCTTGTCCATGAGGAATTAATAAGTTAGAGGCATTCAGCTCAGAGTGGTGGCTTGCTTGCATGCCTTTTATTAAGTAGCTGAGGCGTGAGGAGACTATATAGCTTGTTATTTTTACATACAGTGCACCTTCTGGAAATAAAGACTTTGTTGATGCACTTTCTTTACTCCCCTATGCTTAAATTCATCTCGCAGGTGCTAAAATACATACCTTTTATAATTTAAAAAAAATTGTTTGCTTTTTAGGAACTAACTCTAACAGTAAAGATTTAAAAGTACTTGATAACATTAAACCAAGCCAGAAAAATCTCTGTAAAACAGGTGATGGTGTTTCTATCTTACAGATAGAGAAACCGAGGCAGAGTGATAAAATGATTTGTCCAAGAATAACGACTCAGTAGTAGCACCGCAAACAGAGGCCGGTCCTGTCGCACAGCTTCTCTTCTCGAAACTCTCTTCCCCTCATCATAGCAGTTTCTTTACAGTAGGAGCAGGCAATTATTTTGGGCAGAGGGCTGCTTACTGAGTTCTGGCAAGCCATCAAGGGTCACATGACAGGCAGCCCAGGGCAGATAAATATTAACTTTCTAAATTTTTTAGGGGGCCCACAGGCTGGATAGAAGGCCTTGGCGGGCTGCATCCCCTGGGCCGCATTTTGCCCACCGCTGCTTTACAGCCATTATGAAAGAATATCCACAATGTTATTTTGTCTGTGCAGGGAGGCAGCAGGCGAGTGTTGGAAACAACTGGTGCCTGATCCTACAAACTCTTGCTTCCAGACAGAGTCACTTGCATTTCACTTGGCAGTGAAGGTTTTGCTATGCATGGTAGAAAATGTTGGCAGGGTTGTATCCTAATTGGTGACCATTCACTTAGACCAGAGGTGTCCAACCTTTTTGAATGTCGGGCCAGATGACTAACTTTTTATCACCCAGTGGGCCAGCGAGCCATATTCGAAGACCACAGGAAGTGGTATCATATCCAGAAGTGATTTCACTGGTGTCAAAGGTCACGTGACGTTGCAGGGGTTGACCATGGTGCTGGTTGACATGGCATGCATGCCCGGGTTGACCTGGTGCTGCAGGAGCCGCCTGGCTACAACCGGATTGACCTGGTGCTGGAGAAGCCGTGGGGCCAGGCCGGGGTTAACCTGGGGCCCACTGGCCTGCCAGTGCCATGTCCGGGTTAATATGGTGCTGCAGGACCGAGTTGGCACCGGCCAGGAAAAGCAGCATGCAGCTGAAGCTGGCTTCCCATGTGCTGCTGGGGACAGGATGAGGCCAGCCAGGTCTGCACTGGCC